CTCCAGCACAAGATGTCACATTCTTTCAAACATTCTAAGCCTTCCCATATAGAAAATTTCTTACCCAATTAAGTCTGCAAATTATACATGCTCCACAATGGTTCTTGAGATGTTAGGTGCTGACCATTATTATTTTAAAGATTTATTCATTTTATGTGTATTTGAGTTTGCCTACAAGTATGAATGTGTACTGATACCTGGCACCCACAGTGTGGCCAGAAGAGGGCACTGGATCCCCTGTAATCGGAGTTATGGATGGCTGTGAGCCACCAAATGAATGCTGGGAACTGGACCCACGTCCTCTGCAAGAGCAGCCAGTGCTTTTAACTGCTAAGCCATCTCTTTAGCTCCAGTTATTATTATTTTAAACTTTCATGAGAACATTTTTCAAGGGAACTGTATTGCCAGTTTGTTTTATAATCTTGCAGATCTCCAAGAACTCCTTCCAAGTCTCCAGCCCATCAACGGTGTAACTTGCTGGCAGGTAGAACATGTCCTGAACAATCAGCCTCTGCTTGCTGCTCTTTCATGTCTGATATCTGAACTGTTGCATAATAACATTAGTAAACTGAACTGATTCAACTGGGCCAGACTTTGATATTTCAGCTAAAATAATTTTACAACATCTTATTAAGGGAGAAGTAAGTAATACAAACTGCCAGTCTTTTTTAATAACATTAGGTTCAATGTTTTCCCTCCAAATAGCAAGTCTGAGAATAAGGAGAATACATAGCTTAACAACAGATAGCAGTTCCAAAGCCTTAGCATCTAGATCTGACTAAATAGGCTAAGCTTTGAAGGGCATAAATGACTTTTACTGTATGATTTTAATAAAAATGGAGTTCACTCTTGGAGTGTCCCTCAGTTTTACAACCTGAAATGGGATGAACACATGTCATTTCTCATATGTGTGCACCATTAAATGTCCTAGTTTCTTTAGTGTTGCTCACTGAACAAAAGAGTAGCTTGGTGACTGGAGGTGGCACTCCCATAAGCTACGGAAGGCAAGGTCTAACAGGTAGCAGGCCAGGGGCCAGTAGGCCAGATCTGTTGGCTAAACTCAGGGTTAGGTTTAATGCACCAATATTGCTGATGTATCAGCTAGGCCCTGTTGCTACACACACCTCCCTCTTCTATTTAGTTTTGCTTTTAATTTCCAGAGCTGAAAATGGTGTTACATGCTTTGAATCCCAGCACTTGGAGGCCGAAGTAGAATGATTTCAAGTCTGAGTTCATTCTGGATTCTATAATGAGATCTTGTCTCAAAAATTTTGTTGTTCTTTGAATTTTTGGAAACTTTAGCTGTGCTGTCAACTTTGGAAAAAAGTATCCCAGTTTCCCTTGTTGAGTTGGCATTGTACAGAAATTAACAGCCATGTTGGTCTAGAAATTAATTTTTTTTCATTTGTACAGGGGTAACGCACTGTATTAAATATGTAAGGTCTTATCTATGTGGGTTTGATTACAAAAACTAATAAAGTATTCTCTAAATAAAACAATTTTGTTGTTCAATTTTCATACTCTAATTTTCAAATTGCACCTTTAGTTAGTAACTGTAGAATCTTTTTTTTAAAAAAAGGATTAAAAAATAATTATGGGGAGGAGAGATGGCTCACTGGTTAAGAGTACTGATTCCTTTTTCAGGACCTGGGTTTGGTTTACAGCAACCACACAGTGGCTCATACCTGCTTAGGAGATTCAATGTCTTCTTCTCGCCTTCTTGGGCACCAGACATCACCAAGCATGCAAGTGGCGCACAGATATACACATAGAAAAAACATATGCCACAGTGCATGTCTAGAGGTCAGAGGATAACTTGAGGGAGTTGATTTATAATATGGATCTTGGGGGTCCAATCCAGGTCATCAGGAAAGACCTTTTATCTACTGAGCCATCTCACTGCCCCCATCCAGTCTTCTTAAAACAAGTGCAGCAGGGATGCATGGATCTAAGTGTTTCATGGTCTGACAATGGTTAATGATAATAACTGGCCTTGGGCCTTAGAAATCACAGATATACCTATGTGCTAATGGCTGTGTGTGAACCTCAAGCAATCTCAGGCAAACAGCATTGAACATAGACTCTATAGAGAGAGTAGAAGTTGAACAGTTGAGCTGAGTCAGGTAAAGAAGGCCTAGGAAAAGAAAAAGACCACCACAACCATTGTATTGTCAAAAAGGGTGAAGTTTATGGTATGTGAATGTATCCCGAGTCTTAAGACCAAAAGGAACATCTAGAACATTCCAGGTGACATAAATGCTATGGCTGGCATGTGTTCCTCACTCCTGCAGTCTCCTTCCTCAAAGCCTGCTTCTGTTCCCCTCTCCTTGCTGACACACTGTCATGTGACACTGTTATGGATGAACCCTTTCTTGTGAGCCCACTGGTTTCTGGGCAGAGGGAGCCAACACTGACTTCCCAAGTCACTCTCCCACTGACTCTTGGTACTTGTATTCTCCCCCTGCGTTCTCTTCATCCCTCTTATAGGAGGCGGAGATTCCTGTTCCACATTTTGTGTGTGTGTGTGTGTGTGTGTGTGTGTGTGTGTGTGTAAATCTGTATGCATGCTCACACATACGGGGCTGTGTGCATATTGGTAATAGACTTTGACATTGGACATCCTTCTCCATCAGCCTACACTTTTATTTACTGAGGCAAGGTCTCCTGTTGACTTTGGAGCTCACTGAGTGGCTAGTCTAGTTAGCTTACCTGGCGTCTCTGCCTCCTGAAGGAGTGCTGCTGCTTAGTTGGATTATACAGCTAGGGCAACATGCCTACATGTTGGTCTGGGTTTTGGGGATCTGAACTCCAGTCCCTATGATTGCACAACAAGTGCTTTATCCACTGAGTTACCTCCCAACTACAGTCCACTAAGTTTTATAACCTGGCAAACTCTCTGAGACAAATCGAAGGGAGACTTTGTCAACCACCTTCCCTAATGTATCTGTGCTCTCATTGAGTCTTACAACACAATCCCATACTCTGGATGGGAAGAACAAGGCTCCAGGCTTTTCCATTCAGGTACCCTGTGGATGTTCATGAAGAATATGCATTGCACCTTTAAGGAGCTGAAAGTGATTATAAATGGGACCAGTGATAGAGAGGGAACATCTATGAAAAACAACGTAAAGCTAATAAAAACTGGCATTGTTTGCCAGAGTGTTTAAATACAATCACACTTCAAATAACCCCCAAGGATCATTTTCCACTGCAGGAGGCAGGATGTGCGTGGAGACGTGATCTTGTAAAAGCACCAGAGAAAGGCGGAAACACAGAGATCATTATTTGAGATTTAAAATAACACAAACTGCGCACAGGGGAACTTAGTTTTCTGCCACAATTGGGTCTGCCTCAGAGAGCCATCCGCCATCCCTTTCTCCCATAGACAATCAAACCAAGTGAAGTTAGTTTGGGCTGCTGCATTTGTGGAGGTAGGGAAGGGACAGGTGTAAAATGATAGCTGAGAGATGGTTTAGTCAGTAAAGTGTTTGCTGTGCAAACATTAGGACCTGAGTTTGATTCTTAGAACCCACATAAAAAAAGCAGGTGCAATGGCTCACGAGTGTAACCCCAGTGGTGAGGACATGGAAGCACGTGATCCTCAAAGCTTACTCGCCAATCAGTCTGGCTTACTCAGCAAGCTGCAGGCTTGGGAGCCCAAAAGCAAGGTGGCTGGCACCTGAGGAATGATACCTGAGGTTGGCCTCTGGCCTTCACAGGTATGTGTAATCATGTACACACACACACACACACACACACACACACACACACACCATCAACAAAATAAATGGTATTTTGAAACGTCTGATGGACACTGAACTGACTGCCATGTGACCAGTGGTATAGTAGAGGAAGCCATGGGCATGATCTCATGTTAGACTTCTATGCCTAGGGCTCCCCTCCCTTGGATTGAAACCCAGCTCTGTTTCTTCTTTGCTGTGTGACTGTGACAAGTATTCTGATCCCCATATGTCTGTTCTATTTGTAAACTGAGGCTGTGAATAGCTTGTAGGCTCTAGGCCATTTAGAGTGTTCCAGGATTTTATACAGGAAAAGCCACAAATATATTGCCTGACACATGATTTTTTCTAGACAGGTTCCTGTTCAATAAATACAAACACAAGGTCTGTTGCTGCTCATTAAATGTCTTGAAAAAATGACACTCTAGGCCCAGCTTGGTGGCTTATGACTATAATCTCATCATATAGGAGGAAGGACAGCCTGGATTATATTATAAATTTCCAGGCCAGCCTGGGATGCAGGTCAAGACCCTGTCTCAAAAACAAAACAGGTGCCCCTATAATATCTGCTTAACTTGATTTGCACATACTTAATCTGAATTAGAAATTGGTAGATGCTCATTTTTGTGACTGCTGCCAGTGGAAGGCATGCAAATAAATAACTGGGATGTGCAGAAGACAGCACCAGCAAGGCTCTGGCTTGCAGGACAATGGGTTAAATGCAGATGCAACTGGCTGAGATGATGACTGCTGATGTTTCTGCAGCGGTTCAGAAGGCCCACAGGGGCCTGCTGCTCCAGGCAGATGAAACAGAGAGAAGGAAGGATTAACTTTGCTTTGGACCTCCAGGGCGCAAAAGTCTCAAAGGAATTATCAGTGGCCTCAGTCTCCCAGACCCCAAGAGAACCAAGACCAACAAACCTCCCTTCCTTCTTGACAAAAAAACCCTTCCAGCTCAGAGGAGTCTGTTGCCCATTTCATGCCCACACCTTTCTTGAGTAAAGCCTGGTGTAAATGTATAGACATTAACTATTTAGTTCTTGGATGGACCACCTCCCCCCACTCTATTCCAAAGGGCAGGTCAGGAAGACCCCAGTGGCACTTTCTGTATCTCTTGGGACATCTGACCACCACAATGCGCCTCACCACCCTGGAAAGAATTCATCAGCTGCAACAAGTTGTGTGTGTTTGTGTGTGTGTGTGTGTGTGTGTGTGTGTGTGTGTGTGTGTGTGTGTGTGGTAAAAGATAAATGAACTCACCCAAATAGTTGTTGCTCTTATGCATCTCTGTAATGTTAATTTTCGTGGCTCCTTGGGGAATCTCTACAACTCGGTGGTAGCCCAGGCTGGTGAGGGCATGCTTGAACACTCCTGACACCACCTGGCAGCCTGTGTTATCACCTCCACACACCCCACACTTGTCCACAACTTTGTCGGAGCCCAGGAAGTCGTCACAGCCAATGCTCTGCAAAGAGATAGAAAAGGTGTTGTAGAAACAGATCAGGAGCATCCGGGAGGAAGGAGTGAGAAAGGGTCAGGGGATCCACTGGTGGCCTCAGACCAACTTTCCTCCTGCCCTTGATTCTGGGGCCGAGGAAATGGCTCAGTGTGGCAAGGTGCTTGCTGTGCAAGCATGAGTTTGGAGCTCAGCACCCACGAAAAATCCAGGTCTGGCAGTGAATGCCTATAATCCCAACACTGGAGGGCAGAGGCAGGGCGCTCCTTGGGGGTTCTAATCTGGCCAGTCAGTGAGAGACAGTTTCTGTAGAGACTCAGAAAGTAAGATGGAGAGCCATGGAGGAAAACAGCCAGTGCTGACCTCTGGCCTCCACAGTACACATAAGTTGCATGTACACATACCCACATGTATATACACAAAGATTTTTTAAAGTTCATACATGCCTTCATTCAACAGATATCACATAGATATCACCTATTCTGGGCAAGAGCCTTTCTTTTCAGCTACTCATGAAATGTACCCTCCAGAGTGGTGTGGGAGCCCCACACAATACACAAGACAGATGAATTCAATAGCACGTTTGGTCAAGGTAATTGATCAGAAGAAAATGAATAGGAAGGAGTCAGGGTTTGATATTTATATAATTGGACAGTGAAGTTGTTTTGCAACCCGCCCTCCACCCCCAGACTACAGGATGGTCATGAATGCCCCATGCTGGGAATTTCTTAAATCTCTTTGGAACCACAGTAAATACCCCACTTACAACTGAGGTCTGCTGCCAAGTCTGTTCTACATTGCAGATCCTACCATCATGTGACAAAAAGCAACCCCCAAAGAGCTGTTTCCTGGCCTAGTTTCATGGGAAATAAAGTGGTTCTGGAGACTGGAGCACAGCATGTTTGCCTGTTTCTCTGAGGCGCTTCTCAGAAGTGCAGTGCCTAAAGCACTGCCACACTGGATAGCAAGCTTCTATCAGAGACTTTACCACAGTCAAGCTCATTTACAGAAACTCTCGTCTAACCTGAACACCCCCACCCCACCTCAAATCTCATTACTCAGTTTTTTCTACTTTATCTTTATTTTCCATCACCCATTCATGTTCCTGTTAGTCAATTTTGTTTTGCATTAAAAAAATAAAGCTTTGGAACAAAACATAATGATCTTGATTGAAATCTTTTTCCCACTGCCCCAAGCTGGCTCCATAGGGCTCATGGTCCTGTTTCCTGAATTCAAAACTGGGACTCACAGTCTGAGCAGAGAATTCTCTCACATTTCCTCATGGGCAGATGGAAGCAAATAGAATGTAGTTTGGATGATGAAATACTGGGATTACAGGATTCTCTGTTGGGTTCTGGGCTTGCAGAAGATGAAGTCAGAATGGTATTCTAAAACTTGAGACGTATGTTCGCTGACTCACAAGCTTGTTTTGGTTCTTGAACCTAATAGCAAACATGAGACTATATCTCAGGGGCAGAGTGGTTGGTAGACCCCTCCAAGTTAACTTTTGATTGCATTAAATAATTGTGGGTCTATCCACATGGGTCCCACAGGTCAAATCCTGTGGGTGGGGTCAGATCTCAGATCAGAGGTGTTTAACTTAGCTCCTTTACTTTGATTGACACCATTCTGCAGACACTGTATTTCTGCCTTATTGCTTCCATATTCTTGAGTGCACATTAGTCCATCAAAAATCACTGCTCTCTCCAAAATAGGTTCTCTGTAAAACATTATTTCTGACAATAACAGGACATCATCTCAATATGTCCATCCATATCCAATTAGTCCTTCAAAATGTCATGTTTGCTATGTCTCTCTTCTCCCTTAAAATGTCTTACCTTCACCCCCTGAACATTTTAGCCGGAAAGTAAGGAAAATGATAGCCACTCCCTCACTGTCTTGCATTCTCCCTTGCTTTGAAACAAGGTAACACTACCAACATCAGGGTTTCTATCTTCTAGAAGTCCTGGAGATGGAAACATGGCTCCCTGGTTAAGAACACTGGCTGCTTTTGAAGAGGCCTCGGGTTTGGTTTCCATTACCTATAAGGAGGCTCACAACTATCTGTAACATTAGTTCCTGGTGATCTGATGTCCTCTTCTGGCCTCCATGGATACTACATGCATGTGGATCACGGATATACAAGTAGGTAAACACTTGCACATATAAAGTAAAAATAAACAAACTTAAAAAAAATAGATTCTATTCCATAAAAGCCAAGAGTCTAAACAAATTGATGATTATGGATGGGTAAGGTGGACAGTGTGGTGGCTTGAATGAGATGTCCCCCATCAGTCTTAGGCATTTGAATATTTGGTACCCAGTTGGTAGCTGGTTGGGGAGGATAAGGAAGTATGACCTCGTTGGAGGAAGTATGCCATTTCGGATGAGCTTTAAGGCTTCAAAAGACTTGTACCATTCCCAGTGTGTTCTCTGCTTCTTGCTCAGTGTTTGAGATGTTAGCTCTCAGCTGTGCCTGATGCCATGTTCCGCCATTGTGAACGCTTACCCCTCCAGAACTGGAAGTCCTTAATGCTGTCTTCTATAAGTTGCCTTGGTCATGGTGTTTTGTCTCAGCAATAAAACAACTGAGACAGAAAAGTTGATCAGCCCCAGAGATAGCTCACGATCCCCTCTCTCTACACCCTTTGGTCCATTCTGACTGATGCTGGACTCACCTTGAGTAGAGGGGACATACACACAAAGGCAAAGAAGAAAGAATGAACAAAGCATGTGCTTAGAATGATGAGGCAGATCACCTGGCAGAGGCAACTTAAAGGAGGCAGGACTTATTTTGGCTCACGGTTTGAGAGGGTACAGTTTATCATGGTGAGGAAGGCATGGTGGAGTTTATGCTAGGGAAGTGTATGGCTGCTACTTGTTTGTGGTGTCAACTGAGGAGTAGAGAGCATGGGCTGGAACTGGCAGTCTCAAAGCCCATTCCCCACTGAGCCACTTCCTCCATCTAGGTCCCAACTCACAAAGATTCAAAAGCCTCCCAAAGAACTACAACCAGTTGGAGACCTAGTGTTCAAACATGTATACCCGTGGGAGACATTTCACATTTAGATTGTAGGGTTGCAGTGAGGGATGAAGTGAGGCCAGAGAAATAGTTAGACTCTCCAGGGTGAAGCATTAGAATTTTAATCTAAGGAATCAACGACTAACAGATGTATAAAGAAGTGGAGGGTCATACAAAAGATGTGTTTTGAAGACAATAATGTTGGCTGCAGTGTGGAGTGGTCCTACCTAGAGATGGGGAGCAGACAGTTTAGAAAGGTCTCTTACAGAAATACTCTCTTGCAGATAGGGAATGAAGAGTATTTCAAGAACAAACAAGAGATACTGAAGATGGAATCTGCATCACCTCAGACCTCTGTCCCAGTGCAGCCAGAATAGGATTTTCAGTTGGAAATTGTACAAACACACACTGCTTTAGACAACCACAGGCACAGGCACAGGCACAGGCACAGGCAAAATGTCCCTTGCTATTTTGAGGTAGGCATTATCTTAAGACACCAGTGCTACTGGATGGATCCCCACCCAATCTCCTGCACACCTCAGTCACAATGGATGGATCTAGACTTTGCCATTGCAGTCTTCCCAGCAGATGCCCACATAGCTTGGAGACTGGCTTTAGGGAAGGGTGTAGCTACACAAGCAATGCCAAGAGCTAACACTGACACCCTGTTTTCTCAGAGCCCACCCTGGACTCTCAGTGCAGTTTACTTCCCGAGAGAGAAATGAAAACAAAGGGCATGCGACCCTTCCCCAGACATGAAAAGAAACCACTGGGACATCTTTCTGGTGTTCTAGTGGCTCCTCAGCCCTTTGAGAGATGGGCTCATACAGAATACTACCCACTTCATGAAGCAGGAAAGACAACTCTAGAGTGAGGACTGGGCAGACAACATGAATTCAAGACCTTTACTCCCAGCTCTGAGGCTACAGAAAACATTTTAGATGACAACTGCTCTGTCTCTTGACAGGGCTGTGCTGAAGATCAGTGATATAATGAAGGACAATTTGATTGACTGAAAAAGTGACCTTTGGACCAGGTCTCAAAGGACAAGATGATCTAACCATGTGAATTTATATTTATATTTTATCAATGATGTCACTGGGTGGCCACACCAGGCAAGTCATCTGGAAAGCACCCGGTTGAATCAGATCAAGGTCTTACCTTTGGGGCAGGGGTTAATTTTTAAGGACTCACTACACACACACACACATACACACACACACACACACACACACACACACTATCAGAAATTATTGGGCAACAAGGACTACCTGCATTTTCTATCTTCTCCCAGGACAGGATCAAATCTCTTTTAAAAATTGAAAATTGAGTACATAGAGACTAGTGTGTGCTTCAGTATCCCAAGAGTGACATTCAGATGCAAAATGAACAGACTGACAGACCAGTAGAGGGGGAAGGAAGCTTTAATCCCCCCATTTGTTTTCAACTTTGTAATGTCTAATACTCACAGAGCCTTTACTATGTTATAGGTCATTTGGAAATAATTTTTTTTCTCATTTTATCTTAAAAGCAGCCCCCGGGATTGCTGTAAACTACATGGAGCTAAGACTTAAAGAGAGGTCAAGTATCTGGGTAAGGTTGTGTTGTCAGTTGTAAGCTTAGTTCAAAACCAAAAAGCATGTTTTTAAAAACTTTATGTAAGGATTGGAGCTCAAAGGGTCAGTGGTCATGCAGAAGGTGACAGTTTTGCTGAAGGAGTGGATGATGGCAGTCACCAAGTACAGAGAACAAGTTCAGGATGATGTCACCATAGAATCTTGGACAGAGCTCTGCCCAGAGGTGACTCTGATGTGACTGTTTTCTCGTTTTGTGAAGGACCAAGCACACGATGTATCTCTCCCCCACTGGCTGTTTGAACATTATACTCTACATGTAGCAAATGAATAAATATTTAAGCTTGTCTTCCTATTACATTAATTTCTTATTGTAAGAGCTTTTTATTTATTTTGAAATGCTTAGACTCACA